AGCATTCTAATTGTTTTCGTGGCTACTTTGAATGCTCTTTCAACAAATAATCCATTTAATGGTTATATTTTACAATTGGGACCCTTCTTTTGCCTCTAAAAGCTCATTTTAGAATTATAGATTCTTCCATCACGATACTATCGATAGTGCAGGTGCCGCCGTCTTTCTTTCATTGTTGTTCCTAAATGGCTACAAGCAGCAGCGCACTCCTGTTGCAGAGCGACCGCTATTAACAAATGCACCCAAAAACTGTTACCAGTTGATGATGCTCATGCTGAGATCATCATATAAAATGAATAATCCTCTGGTAAAATATTTACTTAAATAATAAATAAGTAATTTACCTATGAAAAAAATGAATAATAAATCTGATTTAAATAAGAATTTAACAACATGTTTTTTAATTTTTGGAACCTAACCCCCCTTTTTGCACTAGTTCTTTGTTTCATATAACACGGATTCGCATAACACGGCAATTTTTTGGAACATAACTCCCATGTTATAGGGGGTTACCTGTAAATATTACTATATAATTTTTGTAAAATTCATAATTATGTTGTTATTCTAAGAATGAATAATAAATCTGATTTAAATAAGAATTTAACAACATGTTTTTTAATTTTTGGAACCTAATCCCCCTTTTTGCACTAATTCTTTGTTTCATATAACACGGATTCGCATAACACGGCAATTTTTTGGAACGTAACTCCCGTTTTATATGGGGTTACCTGTATTTACATGATATAATATTATATTTTGTCATTAAAATGGAATGGACAAAAATTTTCTTCATTTTCATAATGAGCAAATTCTAATGCTGAATAAAATACAGAGAAAATTGGTTTCAGCCCTTGTTAAGAATGAACAGCAGTAATTTTCCTGAAGTAAATGCAGGTTGATGATGATGTCTCTCTGTATACTTATAAAATATCACATTTATTTCTGTTATAACTGAATTTATATAAAAATAACTTTAACTGCTATTAATTAGAGAATTAATAACAGTTAAAGTTATAAGTATTTGTAATAAAGTTATGTTCCATAGAACTTAAATGATATAGCATTCAAAAATTACACCTAATCTTTAACTTATCTGTGTAATGTTTATTGAATAGGAATTTCATAGATTATTTTAAACCTTAAAAGTTTTGTATAAACAGGAATGAATAATTGCTCTCAATTTCTTAAGATTTGACTAATGTAATAAAACATTTTTCTAACATTAATATTAATTTGCAATCTGTCAAAAACTTTACATTGTAGATCAGTGTTCATTGGATTAATCATACATGGCTACATATGAAGTACAGAAGAGTTACAAACTTTAAATTATTATGAGTATTTTGTAATTAAAATGTAACCGTAATAATGTTAAGTGTAGTTAATAGGTCAGCTAATGAGTTAAAAAATTTCAGTTCATCAATTAAAGTTCTTTAAAATTTTTAACTGAAGATGTCAAAGAAATTTTTTTTTTGCAAAAGTAATGTTAAGAATATTTAAATTTAAAGTCACAGTGTAAAGATCAAATCTAAAATTTAAAACTACTGATATATATCTGCTAAATAAATAAGTTCTAAAATAAAGATTTGAAAGCAGTAAAAAGAAAAATCAAGATTTATTTTGTTTATTTTATTCAGGATAGGGTTAAAGAACTACAAGCAAATGCTGCAAAATATTCATCCTGGGACCAAGAAAAAAGAAGAATGAAGGATACAATTGAAGAAAAAGATAGTTTGATAGAGTTATATCGTAAAGAAAAACGTCATTTAAAAGAAAAAAGGGAGCGATTAAAAAAAAGGGCAAGTATTTATGTAACAATAGTAAATTGATTTAAGTAATCAAACACTAATACTTAAAAATTTTACTTTATTTTTCAACTTAAATAGTTGGAAGAAATAAGTAAAAAACTAGCAGATGCAGAAAGAGCAGAAAAAACAAGTAGATCTCTTTCAGTCATAGGACGATCAGATAGCATGCGAGAAGACTACAAAGCAGAATTAACAGCACTGAAAAAAGATTATGAATGTCGTATGACAATAATGAACTCAGAAATGCAAAATATGCAAACTCAAATTATATCGTTAGCTCGAGAGAGAAATCAACTTAAAGAAAAATTGATGAGTTCGGAAACCAAAACTAAAGAAGTTTTTTTTTTATTCTGATGAAACCGTGTTGTTGTTATTAAGCTGTTTCTTTGCAGACACACTAAGGTGACATATATCAACACTTGGCAACTTATTGACTATTTATTCAGTTGGATAAAGAAGTTTTATCTGGATCTCTAAGAAGAGAAAAAATGGTATCAAAATTTATGTAATGCAATAATAATAATTTTAAGATGTTTTATTACTGTCAAAAATTTTTTTGCAAGTAATTTGTATTTTGCTCTAAACTAAAATAAAATGTATATATAAAGTACTATTATAAAAATATTTAAAGTATTATACAGTATAGCGTCACTTATCTGAACATTGATCAACTAAAACATCTATTAACCAAAAGCGTTCCAGTCAGACTGTGTCATGCTGAATCGAGCATTTTTGATACTATATTTACTTCTAAATTATAATTTTTTTGTTTTTATATTTTTCAATGTATTTATTTTGTTGTACAAAATAAAGAAATAATTTTTAATGCCACGATTATTATCATAGAAATTTTCGTTAGGCTTAACATCAATGAAAATTCAACACGAAGCAACATGCTATGGAGAAAAATTTAAACATGATATATATTAATATACTATTATTGAAATATACTAATATATTAAATTAATAATGTATTTTTTCATACATAATCTAGTTGTCTGAAAAATCGATTTTCTGAACAACCCCAGTTTTAAATTGATTCGGATAATCAATGCTCTACTGTATATTGTTTTAAGTTATATAGTAATACAGAATTTTTCTATGATAGAGTTATGGGATATTCATTGTATCATTATTATTGATTTTAAGATTAGTGACGGTATTTCTAGAGATGTCGGAGAAAATTAGACATTTTCTTTAAAAAAAATATTTTCTTTTTTAAAACTAAAATATGATCATTAATTTATTTTTACAAATTTCTTTTTGTGAGTGATGCTTTAACAAATATTTACATATTGAATTATGTGCTACACAAATTGTTTATTCATAAAAGTTTTTAATTTTTCATAAATAAAAATATTTGTCTTATAGATGGAAACGGCAAAAATGTTATCAGATAAAAAAAGATTAAAATTAGAAGACATCAATGAGCAATTTGATGATGCTTTGCTTTAAAACAAAAGCTTGAAGTTGCAATATGAAACTGATAAGAATAGTTGGGAAATAGAAACTGCTGAATTGCAATCAAGAATTAATCAGGTATGTTTTTTCTGTTTTAAATGTAACAAAAAATCATAACCCAAAATATATAATGATCAACAAACAATCATAAATTATAAATTAATTGAGTTATAATACAAAAATAATTTGTAATTTTTGTATACATAACTATTATAATTTGTAACTATTAATATGTTAGTCACAATCATATTTTATTTGAATAACTTGACAGAATAGGAAATGAAATTTTAATACCATTTACATTTATTGATAATATTGTTTCTGAATAAACATCTAAAAAACCCAATGTATTAATCACCATCCAACCATCAGTTAAAGTAATAGAGCAATATTACACAACAGTTAAAATAGAAATTACATGAATAGAAATTAAAGGTAGACATTAGGTGCCATCTCTTGTAGAAAGTAATAACTATAATTTTAATATAATTTAGAATATTCTAAATGTTTAATTTCTATTCATGTAATTTCTACATATTAACTGTTGTGTAATATTGCCCAATTTAATTTGAATGATGGTTGGATGATATTTTTTCTGACATTAAGACTATTATTTAGTTAACCTTTTTCAATAATTTTCAACAGTTTACTATAATTTATTTAATCTCAAATGAATGGAATATAAAAGAAAAATTATATTTTAATTTTCTAGGTCCTTTTTCTTTCTAGAAACTGTTTAAATTGTACTAAAAATATTTAACTATGATTTGTGATATCCTAAGACCATTCCAAAAACTATTACTGATACAATGTCAACGAGCAATTGGATGATGCTTTGCTTTATTACTGATACAATCATCAATGAGTAATTTGATGATGCTTTGCTTTAAAACAAAAGCTTGAAGTTGCAATATGAAACTGATAAGAATAGTTGGGAAATAGAAACTGCTGAATTGCAATCAAGAATTAATCAGGTATGTTTTTTCTGTTTTAAATGTAACAAAAAATCATAACCCAAAATATATAATGATCAACAAACAATCATAAATTATAAATTAATTGAATTATAATACAAAAATAATTTGTAATTTTTGTATACATAACTATTATAATTTGTAACTATTAATATGTTAGTCACAATCATATTTTATTTGAATAACTTGACAGAATAGGAAATGAAATTTTAATACCATTTACATTTATTGATAATATTGTTTCTGAATAAACATCTAAAGAACCCAATGTATTAATCACCATCCAACCATCAGTTAAAGTAATAGAGCAATATTACACAACAGTTAAAATAGAAATTACATGAATAGAAATTAGAGGTAGACATTAGGTGCCACTTCTTGTAGAAAGTAATAACTATAATTTTAATATAATTTAGAATATTCTCAATGTTTAATTTCTATTCATGTAATTTCTACGTATTAACTGTTGTGTAATATTGCCCAATTTAATTTGAATGATGGTTGGATGATATTTTTTCTGACATAAAGACTATTATTTAGTTAACTTTTTTCAATAATTTTCAACAGTTTACTATAATTTATTTAATCTCAAATGAATGGAATATAAAAGAAAAATTATATTTTAATTTTCTAGGTCCTTTTTCTTTCTAGAAACTGTTTAAATTGTACTAAAAATATTTAACTATGATTTGTGATATCCTAAAACCATTCCAAAAACTATTACTGATACAATGTCATTTATACTGTATGTATATATAGATTTATACTTTAAGTACCATTAATTATTAATTGCTTAGCTTTTATAAATTCAATGCGGTGTGAATAACAATTTGGTAGAAATCTTATTAAAATTAAAAAACCAGATACTTGATTAGTAACGAAGTTCCAAGGATTAATTTTGTTGATTAAATCAATATTATGACAATACAAATTAATTTGGGTCTATGCAGAATTATCCTTTTTAATTGTCCAACAAAAGACAGATGATAACAACTTAAAACTGACAAATGACATAAAAAAATTCACACAATACAATTGACGCCGACCTTTTCTTAGAAGATCCGACGCCAAGAACACAGTATTAAAATTTCTCACAATATCACTTAGGTAAAAAACAGTTGTATTTATATCCGGAGATCAGCAGATGAATATCTGCCAACCTCTGGTGGAACTCTGGAACAGCTTCATTATTTGCATATATACATTAGTAACGAAGTTCCAAAAATTAATTTTGTTGATTGAATAAATATTATGACCATACAAATAAATTTGGGTCTATGCAGTCGGATCCTCTAAGAAAAGGTTAGCGTCAATTGTATTGTGTGAATTTTTTAAAGTTTTTTGTCGGTTTTAAGTTGTTATCATCAGTCTCTTGTTGGACAATTAAAAAAAATAATTCTGCATAGACTCAAATTTATTTGTATGGTCATAATATTGATTTAACCAGATACTTGATTTTTATAAAGAAAATGACTATAAAAATCAAGGAAAAGTAATATATTATATCTAGTTGGTTCGCTGTATGTTATATTAACAATGTAAATTCGTCTCTAAAATATATTTGTAGTTCAATGAAAAATAAAAGTTAAATTTGCTAACCAGAAATTGCTGTGAGATACGTCTACCAAAGCGTGTGTTTTGGATTACAGAGACAAATTTACATTGGTAATATATTATGTTTTTGCTGACACAACTTTATCATAATAATATTTTTACTGTACATATGATGATGCCTAACATCTAATCAGGAAAAAATGCAGTTTGATTAGGAAATTTAAAAATTAGCATTCATATTATAAAGCTTTAAAATTTGGGATTTATAATGTAGCTTTAGAATATGATGATAATAAAATAACTCATTAAATTATCTTGTTAACATTGTATAGTAGAAAATTACAATAAGAAAATAATTATTTGAATTTCATGTATAGAATTCAATGTTAATGAAGTTATAGCTTATAATGTATTGAATAATATAAAGCAATATGATATGTAAAGAATTTAATAACAACAATCTATGAAAATATAGATTGTTGTTATTAAATTGTTTATTTTTATATTTTTACTACTGATTTTTATTTTATTACAACTTCAGCTCGAAGAACAAAAATTATTAGAAAGTGCAAGAGGATCATCAAGAACTTATGCCAGAACACGTTTAGAATTAGCTTGGGAGAAGAAACGAGCAGAACAGCAGCGTCTTTTGTCTGAAGCGCAACATGTTATGTCAGACCTGAAATCTAAGTTAATTAATGTAGAAAAACAGACAGATAAAGAAA